AAACAGCACCTGGGCACACCTGGGCACACCTGGGCACACCGCTGTGCCAGGTAATCCAGGGTGCCACACAGCGTGCGGCGCCTGAGGGGTTAAACGGGCACACCTGGGCACACCTGGGCACACCTGGGCACACCTGGGCACACCTGGTGTGTTCAGGTGTGTCCCAGGTGTACCCAGCTGTGCCCAGGTGTGTGCCCAGGTTTATCCCAGGTGTACCCAGGTGTGCCCAGGTGTGTGCCCAGGTGTGCCCCAGGTGTGCCCAGGTGTGCCCAGGTGTGTGCCCAGGTGTGCCCCAGGTGTGCCCAGGTGTGCCCAGGTGTGTGCCCAGGTTTATCCCAGGTGTACCCAGGTGTGCCCCAAGTCTGTCCCAGGTGCCCCCAGCTGTACCCAGGTGCCTCCAGGTGTGCCCGGCTGTACTCAGGTGTGCCCAGGTGTGTGCCCAGGTGTACCCAGGTGCCCCCAGGTGTGCCAGCTGTGCCCAGGTGTGCCAGGTGTGCTCACCTGAGCGAGGGCGCGTGCACGGACCAGCCGAAATCCCCAATTTGGAGCCATTTCCCAGCCCCATAACCCCCTCGAGGTGCCCCCAGGTGTGCCCAGATGTGTGCCCAGGTGCGCCCAGCTGTGCCCAGGTGTGCCAGCTGTGCCCAGGTGTGCTCACCTGAGCGAGGGCGCGTGCACGGACCACCCAAAATCCCCAAATTTGAGCCATTTCCAATCCCCATAACCCCTCCCAGGTGTACCCAGGTGTACCCAGGTGTGCCCAGGTGTGCCAGCTGTGCCCAGGTGTGCTCACCTGAGCGAGGGCGCGTGCACGGACCAGCCGAAGTTGGCGATCTTGAGCCATTTCCCAGCCCCATAACCCCCCCAGCTGTACTCCAGCTGTGCCCAGGTGTGTGCCAGCTGTGCCCAGGTGTGTGCCAGCTGTGCCCAGGTGTGCCCAGGTGTTCCAGCTGTGCCCAGGTGTGCCAGGTGTGCTCACCTGAGCGAGGGCGCGTGCACGGACCAGCCGAAGTCGGCGATCTTGAGCCATTTCCCAGCCCCATAACCCCTCCCAGGTGTGCCAGCTGTACCCAGGTGTACCCAGGTGTGTGCCCAGGTGTGCCCAGCTGTGCCCAGGTGTGCCCAGGTGTGCCAGGTGTCTCACCTGAGCGAGGGCGCGTGCACGGACCAGCCGAAGTCGGCGATCTTGAGCTCCCCCTTGAGGCCGAGCAGGAGATTCTCGGGTTTGATGTCGCGGTGGATCACCTTGCGCCCGTGGCAGTACAGCAGCGCGTCCGCCAGCTCCTCCATCAGCTGCGGAGTTTGGGGGGTCAGGGCACCCCAAAATCCTCCAAAGTGACCCCAAA